AAAGCGGTTAGACTGCTTTGACGTAAGACATATTTCATTCAAAGCGTTCATTATCGCGTATTCCCCACGACTTGCTCTAAACCCGTTCAGTTGTTCCATTAGCCTTCGCGAATCTTTTGTTTATTTGACATAACTTAGTTTCCACGCTACTAACATGACGTGAGTACAAACTAGAAGCTCTGTTTTCTATAAACTGAATTGCAAAACGCGCTTTTTTCATTTGAGAAGGATTGTAGGGCAAAAAGGCGGCGCCGCTAACACAGAAATGGTTCAGAGATAAAATTTAGGCTCGATAACCACTTGGACCAACCAATCCTTCCAAAACCGATGGTTAACCGGGAGTATAGAAGTCCTGGACTGCTCACTAGCCGACTTTCTCTACGCACCATAAATGACCAAATACGCATTTTAACCTTAATGCGAACTGAATGGAAATTGAATGCGTGGCGCATCCCCAGTCAATTTTGATCGATTCCGAAAAGCTCAGTTTTAATTCCATTTCTCGAATGGTGTACCAGAAGCTGATGGCGGCTTCGAAAAATCTCTATTAGGCCTTTAACTCTCGAAGGTAAGTAAGAATGGTGTTTCCTAAACTTCAAAAAAACAGAAATGGTTCATTATCGATTAGTATGTCAGTAGGTTCACGCTCAGACAGAACGTGAAAATCATGCGCAATCCACTATTCACGTTTCCCATAACCCAAAACCTAGGTAAGACTTGCTGGTGCACACTGTTGCGGAAGGACGTTCCTATCGATCAAATCTCCCAGATTCCGTTCAGGTTTATGGGGAACACAAAGAAGTGCCACGTAAAGCAAAAAAGCTGGATTGACGCTGATGCCTTGCGACGGGTCTAACCTTTCAGGTCACTTCTGGCACTTTTTTCCAGATCGTTAGGTTGAACTGCTATCGTAGTTTTGCTTCCACTGTAAAGCAAACACTTGAACTGCTGTTCATTGATCAGAAGATGTCGTGTGATCGATCATAAAGCAACGTTTGAAGCACCATATCGTTCAGTGCGCATAAACCGGTGGGTGCGCCATGGTGACATCGCTTAGGGTGACGGACGACCTGATACTACGGCGATGACGATTTTCCTTACGAATGGATCACTAAATGGATTGCATGAACATTATCGGAAAACTACGTATTACGTATAGCTAAAACAGAAGCGAACGTATCATTTGGAACGAGATCTTGCCGTGGAATCGATCCATAGGAGTACTAGCACCAACTGGGAAAGGGATTCCGTTTGCTATGAAACCATGGGAGGGCATCTGAGTGAGTCGGTACCTCTGAGAAGATGAAATTGTCTACCTATTTAGAACTTTTAGGCACCTCCTTCCTTCCATAACCATCGTGCGGTCTCCCAAGTCTCGTTCTCATAGGATGTTCTCATACTTTCCCTCCAGGGTTTCTCACCCGTGGACATCGGATGTGTTTTCATA